CCTAGAGTAAGTAACGCGTTCTTGGAAATTCAAGTTTTCTAATGGAAAAAACAAGGCTAAAATGTCTTCCAGCCCTAACAAATACAAAATAACCTAATGTTCTGGAAACATAAGTATTGTCTGGAGACACATTCTAACTTTTATGTGTTTTATACAATAGAAGTATGCATATAATTAAACTTGATCATATGGCAACTTAAAAGTATTTAATATTAGAGCCATTCCTTGGTTGATAAGTAAAATATAAAAACAGCCTAAGTTTTAAGTATGGAAAAGATACACATGCTGGCTAGTCTTAAAAAATACATGTGAAAGTATGTTAATTCTGACATTTCCTTTTAAATCTTCTCCCCTGACAGACCATATCTGGAATGACACTGGCAGGACAGAAACCAGCAAGACCATTTACAATGGCCACAAGTTGAACAAAGGCTGCTAGATTTCTATCTTCCTTGGTTACTGAACAAAAGCAGCAAATGTTAAGTACAGTTGCCCCAGCAGTTGGCAAGTTCCCTCCCATATGAGAAGAAGTCGTGGAACAGCTGGGGAATATAAGATGCTTTTGAACAAGCTGCTATGTGATCCAAAATAACACTGCCCGTGTTACAAAGGAAGAGACGGCCCCGTGCAGGTCTGGTGCATGCCTGTCAGCTGCTTCTGACTTCACAGTGGGAGCACAAGTGGTTACCACTGGAGAGACCCTGAAAGGGGTCTTAACCCTCTGCAAACAGTCAGTTGCTTATATCCATAACTCACTTTTCAGTGTGCAAGAAGCTGCATTGTATATCCAAATGCAAAACCTATACATGGACAATCCCACTCTTACTTCAGGCTATATGGTGGTTTGGAGGGGAACTTTTACAGGCTTGACTTCTGGCTCAGTGACAGAGCACGTGCTTAACATGAGGGAGGCCCTGAGTTCAATCCTCAGGAGCACAAAAAGAAAGGAAAAAGCATTGATCAAAGCTAAGCACTGATCACTCTATGACACTGCAAACAGTTTGTTGCCCATACCTGATGATTTAAAAGATTACTTAAAAGATAAAATTATGTAAAAGATAAATGTACAAGGCCTAGAACTATAAAACAGCAAATGGAAAGTATTTCTGTGCTTATTTGATAAAATCAACAACTTTAAAGTGTTCTTATAAAGGAAATACTTGTACAGGTTGCTTACAACCTGTTCAGCTCAACTGATCTACAACTAATTCTGTCACCTTCTAAAAGTTAGATAGTTTCTGCCACATTTGAGCAAATATTTTTGAAATATTATATATCAGACTCTTCTTTGTCTTCTAGCAACTTGGTGGCTCATTTTTAAACAGACTTTCTGAAAATATTTTTATTTTCCAAGAACATGCTTCCTCTTCCCAAGATGGGCCTGCACAATTCTCACAGAAACACGTATTTTTAATACCCTAGGGAGCCGGTGAACGAGGAAAGAGATGTTTGTCTCCAGTTTGGTTTTGAGGTTTTTGGTAATAGTCCTGTCACACTGGCCATTAGAATGCTAACTTTAAATGTAAAGGGAAAGGAAATGGCCAGGGAGGGAGCCGCAAAATTACACAGCAGCAACGCCAGGAGGAAAGCCCTACACTTCCGGAGGGCCTTGTAAACTCTCGGGCCACTGGACGAAGTTTTCCATCACTAACCTTTCCCTACCCTCAGCTTGTTGACAAGAAGGAGGAGCCGTCACTGCACAAATCACAGGATGCTGACTTCAAGGCGGCTATAAGTACTTTCCCTCTCTAACTGCAGGACGGGATAGAGGAGAGCAAATAAGATTCTGTTCTTAAATGTCCTTACTAACCAAAATTTATTGAGCAGCTATTGTGCACCCTGTGTAAATTATTCGATTTAATCCTCATAACTTGAAGTCAGGAGGCATTGTTATCCCAGGGGATATTTTTCAGTATTGGTGGTAAAACCTAAGGTGTTCATTCACACTAAGTTATATGTCTAGCCCCTTCCCTCCTTTTCCCTCTCTTTCTTTCTCTCTTTCCTTCCCTCTTGCCTTCCTTCCTGATACAGAGTCTCCCTAAGTTGCCAAGGCTGAGCTTAAATTTATGACCCTGCAGCATGCCACAGTGTTGAACTATAAGCATGACTCACATTCTTAAAAATTATAAGGGCTCAGAGCTGAACAATGGCACAGGGCTTGGAGTGATAAGCAATGGAGGCACCGTGTGAACCCCAGGACCCTAGGACATTTGGAGACCCAGACTGTCATTCCAGAGCCTCAAACATCATTGAAGGAAGTGCACTCTTAAGTAATATACAAGATAATACCCAAGTTCCACATTTGACACTTGAGTTCAAAGTTGCATAGAAGTATGCCAAGGAAGTCATAGTCTCAGATTCTTAGAAGAAACTTGGGGTTTTACTATTTCCAAAAAAGACCTCACTTACTGTTAAACACACATTCAGCATGGTGGCCACATCACAGGGTTTAAACAGGGTGGGTCTTGCTGCTCCCTGCCCAGAGGGAAGACAGGCAGCTTCTAAGAGAATGGTTTCTGACCCCAGCCCACCTGCCTTACAAGATAACAGAAAGCAAAGGATAGCTATTTCTGCCTCTCTTTGAAACTGTCATACAATTCAAAGGTTTTCAGGAGATGGCTTACTTTTTTTCATATACCTTAAGCTTTAAATAAAAGCTGGCTTCATTGATGTGCTGTCACAAACACCCAACAATATGTTAAAAGTCAATCAAACCCTAGTGCCTAACTAGAACCTGGAGTTACAGCAACGCGTAAAACCCTACTGAGGCCTGCAATCCCAGCTATCCTGGAGACTGAAGCAGGAGGATCATAAGTTTGAGGCCAGCCTATGCAACTCAGCTAGAACTTGTCTTGAAATAAAAAAGAGCAGAGACACAGCTGTGGGCCTAGGGCCACAAACAAAACAAAACAAAACCAACACATCCCTTTCAGTAGAAACCTATGCCTAAGAAGCAAGGACGATTAAACAGTTCTTTTTGGAGCAGGACCAAATTAGGCTCCAGCAAACTGCTTCGGGCCTCAGTTTCCTTATCTGTAAAGTAGAGATAACGCCCTGGGAGAAGGTTTTGAAGTTTACCAGTGGAATGTGGAGGTCCATGCCCAGTGTATGAGATCCTCTCACGTACCAGGCACTTCATCAAAGTCAGTTCCTGCCCCTTTTCGTACTACAGGAGAGGGGGTGGAGGCAGGTAAGTCAGGAAAGCAGCTGCTCTTGGCAGGCGGTGTTTAGGTGTGGAACGCGCCTGGCTTTCTGCCCTGCAGCATTTCTTCCTCTCAGCCCGGTCCCGTGAAAGTTTGGAGCCAGAGGAGACACCTGCCTCTAAAATTTCCATGACAGTACTTGAGGTTGGGCTGGATTTGCAAAAAGTGGCCAGGGTTTGGCAGATGGAGGTGGGGAGAGGGACAAAGAGCTTTAATCTCTTTAGCTAGCCCCTCCTCTTCCTAGAAACTTCCAACTGCAAGAAACTGTCAGTCTTCAAAAGATCTGGAATGCCTACGCCAGAAACGCTTAAACCTGCACCTGACCCAGATGGTGGCCCTGGCTGGCGCCTCCTCGCCTCTAGCTCGCGGTAATGCAATTACCGCAGGTGAAGCTCCACGCAAGGCCTCGCGCAGCTGGCTGTCAACGGGGAGTAAACCGCTCCCGCGGGGAGCTCGCACGCGCGTACACTTTGCAGGAGAGCGGGGTGTAGCGCGCTCCGAGTGCAAACCAGCGCGGGTCGGCGGAGGTGTGGGCCCGGGACACTCTGCTGGGCGGGGGCCCGAGGAAGTCTCTGGGGCTCTAGCGCCTCACCCGCACCGCCAAAAGGACGGAGGCGATGTCGCAGCGCTGACCCCTTGCGCGCACTCCCGGGCCGTCCTCTCCCCGCCCTCCAGTCGCGTAACGGGCGGGCCGCGCGAACTTCCCGAAACTCCGCGGAGAGACAGAGATCCGCGCCCGGGCGCGCCGGGACGGAAGTGGTGGGAGCGGCGGCCGCGCCGCCCTTTGTTACAGCTCCGGGACCCTCAGTCCCCAATGGCACCGGCCGGGACCCCTCCGTCCCGCCCAGCGGCGCCTCCCGCGCCTCCCGCCGGGTGCCCGAAGCTGACCCCACCTCCGGCCTCCGGGGGTGGGGGGACGCGCGGGAAGGGCGAGTCCCGGTGCCCAACAGCCCGGCCGGCTGCTGATCCCACCCCTAGGCCACCGCGCCCGGGGACAGCCCTCACCTTCCCGGGCTTTCTCGCACCCCCAAGTCACCGCTGCCCGCAGAACTGCGGCTCAGCAGCCACGACCTTTCCGCAGCGCCACGGCCACTCCGCGCCTCTTTCCCACGGAGCGACAGTCAGGCCCCCTCTCCGACTGATTCACGTCGCTCCTCACCTGGAGGCTCGCACAAGTCCCCTCCCCTCCGCCGGCCCGCTAGACGATCGGGAGCTGGCGCCCTCTGCCGGGCCACCAGGCGGGAGCACCCCGGGGACCCGCAAGAGGCGGGTCGCCAGGCACAGCGCAGCGCAGGGACAGCGCCCCCGCCACGGCTCGCCCTCTCCCAGCAGCGCTGGGCCACCGGGGCTAGTACCCAGGGCGCAGGGGACCGAGCTATGCCCGCGCCAAGGATCGCCCCCTGTCCGACCAGTCCAGCCCTGACCTGGAGGCGTGCGAGGAAACCATGGCCAGTTGCTCTCGGCGCATCAGGCTTCCCTACACTGTTAAAGGCACCATGCAGTGTCTGAAGGTGAAGTTTGCATCCAGCGTTTTAGGATCTATCTGCCTGCCTAGTAGGAAGGGGAAGGTGGTGGCCTGCCGGCCCCGGGTCCGAGGCCAGGAAGGCGTTTGGGGCGAACTATAGGGGCAGCGGCACTGAAGGAGCTGGAACTCGCTCGAGGACGCCCGTGTCGGTAAACACGGCCGACAGGCTGACTCCAAGCCCCCACAGGTCCCGAGCGAAACTTCACGAAAGGACCAGGGGAGAGGGAGCGCACCCCAGCGTGTCCTCCTGGCCCGACCCCAGCCCCACTCACCCTTCCCGGTCCTGCCGCCGGCGCCCACACGCCTTTCCCGGACCCAGTGCACCCCCGACGGAACCCGGGTGGCAGTGGTGGCTGCAAGGTCCCTTGCTCAAGCTGGGCTCGAGCTGGTTCCCCGGGAGGGGCGGGAGAGGCAACAAGCAGGGTCCTCGTGCAGAGCGGGTTGCGAGTGTGTCCGACGGCCCAGCACCTCCTTCCCGGGGCCAGCGTGCGCGTCCCGGCGGGCGGGCGGCGCGGGGTAGGATCGTCAGGCCCCGGTGTCCGCGCCGAGCGCTCTAAGTGGCTCGCAGACTGCCAGGCCCCGGGCCGGTGGACCCACCCCCTTGGCGCGCTCCCGTCTGGCAGGGCCCGGGGACGCGCCCTGCGCAAGCGTCCCGGGGCTCAGAGCTGCCAGGCTCCTCCGCCCCGTCTCTCACCCGCTTGTCACCTCTTCCCCGCGGAGTCTGGAGAGAACCACTGACCTCCGAGACCCGGAGCAAGCCTTGGCTCTGAGTTTCCAGCAGTTCTGGGCTGAAACCTGGCAACCTGTAGGAACGCTGGAACGCGATGGGCCAGTTGCCAAGGTTACCGCCTGTGGGCCAGGCACTTGCAATTATGAAAAGCCCTGTGGCCCTCCAACCGCTTGTCTCGAGGAATCCGCCTGCCTCAGTGATTCCAGCAGCACAAGATTGCTGCTCACCTGCTCCACTGTCTGAAGTCCACAGTGGGGCCAGTTAATTTGCATTTCTCGAGAGTTCCCAGGTGATGCTCAAACAGTGGTGAGGATTACACAAGTTAAAGTTTGTGAAAGCATTGAGTGGCAAAGTGGTAGATAAATTTAAACATGGGAAAAGTGTTATTTGTCTGTTTCAGCAGATAGTGTTCCCTTTAATTTCCCTCCAAGCCCTGCCTCATTTCCTGAGTGTGAGTCGCTTCCTTTTCCCCCTGAATCTGCACCAAACTTAAGCAAAGCAGACCCAAACAGAAAAATCCAAAGTGCATATGATTGTTTGCCAGGGCTACAAACCAAACACCCAGCCAGGTGGCCTGTGCAGCAGGAATTGATATTCCCAGCCCTCTGGGCCTTGGCAGTCTGAGAGAAAGGTGTCCACAAGGCTGCATCCCTGGTCCTGCAACATGGCCATCTAGCCCTGTCCCCTAGGACTCTTCCCTGTGTGCCTGTCTGTGGCCTGTTTGCCCCCTCTTCTGAGGACTCCAGTCCGACCAAATCAGGTGAAGGTGCCCTCTAACTCACTTGCCTCTTGGAAGACCGTTTGTCTATACCATCACCTTCGGAGGCCCTGAGGGTTAGGACTTCTATTGGGGACTTGAGGGGTTGGAGATTATTCACCTGATAACCGTGAGCTTCATTGCTCTAAGGCTACAGCAGAAGTTGAGCTTTTGTCTTCTGAGCCCCTGCTCCACCCTGGTCCCCCAGGTAGCCTGGCCTGGGGGAGGGAAGTGGGGTGACTTGAAGCTGGAAGAATGGAGAATCTAGGAAAAGACCTCTCACCTCAGCGCATGTGTAAGAGGCTGTCTCAGGAAATTGACTGTTACTCAAAAGCATTTCAGAGCTGGCCCATTCCATTCCCTGTGCAGTGGCTAAATCTACCGTTCCTCTTCCTTTGGCCCAGGCTTGCTGCAGCTAAACCCTGCGTTGGCCAGCTCTTTGTACTGCAGTGGCCAGGGAGCTCTCAGACAGCCTCCCCAGTGGGCAGGCACTATGTGATGATGTGGGGTCCCGGGCGGACACGGAGCCAAAGGAGGTCTCTGAAAGACCCGTCTTTAGCAAAACTACTTGGGGGAAACTTCATCTCCCACTCTCAGTTCTGTTTCTGTCTTCCCTTTGCTTTTGCTGCTGCCATCCTAGAGCACTTGGGGGGGAGAGGGGGGGGACACCAGGGCCTCACATCTGCTAGGCCAGTGCTCTAGCATTCACTCACCTGCACTCCAACCCTATAGGCTTTGCCCTTAGGGATTTGTTCAGTCCTTCACTTTCTGTTCTTTTCTTTTTCTTGTCCCCCTTCTTTCTCTTACTCCTTCCCTCTACCCCTCCATCCCTCCTCTACTCCTTTCGTGGCATGACAATTGAAACCATGGCCTTCACACCCCCACTGCAGAACCTCATACTCTGTCTTTGGTTTTTGACCCCAGCTTCCTAACCAGAACCCTGTCCCATCTCTACCCCACATCTCCTACTATCGCTCAAAACCAGACTCTGTGATCCGTCCTGCTTTCCTTAAAATCTCAGGGACGACCTTGACAATTTGGGACAGGATCCAAGCTCCCTGACTGGCCTACCACGCCCCTACCCACAGCCTCCTTTCCACCCATGAGACAGTCACACTTGCAATCTCCTCGGCCTGGGGAGAAGGTGTCGTTGCCTTTCCAGCCTCCCTAGGAGTCACCCATTCCAGGAAGACCGCCCTTTCCACTGTCACAGCACCCCACACAGACCTCAGTCACAGCCTGTGGAACAGGGAAGGTGGCCACTGGTCACCCTTCTGTGTCCTTCGGTATGCTGTGCACTCTGGATGGGACAATAGCCTTATTTTTGTTTAAGTTTGAATTCTAGCTTGACCTTGATGCTACAGAATGTTCATAGATAGACAGATATACATATATAGTACATGGACATATAATGTGTATGTTATACATATATGTGTGTGTATATGTATATACATACTAACATTTATTGTAAGGAATGACTGCATTCTTAGAAATTCAGAAGATTTCACCAAACTTAGCATTTGTTTGCAAATATCTTGTTTAGAGCAATTTTAACTTTTCCAATAATATTTTGAGAGCATTCTCTCTTGTTACTCTTGTTTGATGCATGAACTTCTTTCAGAATCTCCGGTTAGCTTCTCTTATACCCTAAATAGCCAGGGGTCCTTAGACATCATGTTTTCAAACTGCTGGGCCTGAAATCAGTACTGTGGGTAAAGGACTGTCTTCTTGGTTTATTTTTTATGAAACAGAATTGAAAAGATGGAAGCATATCTACAGGCTAAGAGTATTGTTTTGATGATACACCCATTTCAGTTCACTGTATTTGGGTGTGTGAGCTTGAGTGTGTGTGTGTGTGTGTGTGTGTGTGCGCACAAGTGGGATTATTGTGTCATTAAAAGAGTTCCTTTAGTGGGATTCCTTCCTGTAGATTGTGGTTGAAGAGCTGCAGTGTTGTTGCTTCCGGCTGGAGCTCTATGCTTGAGCTGTGCATTTGCAGACATGGGGTAGGGGCATTCAGCAGAGATGTTTTGTGAAAGGAGCCAGGTGGAGCTGGCCTTTTAAGTGAGGCACTGGCAGAGCAGACAGTGCCATGTGATGCTCCCTCTGCAGGGAGCGGGTCCCCTGGAACTGCTTCTGTGGGCTGGAGAGAGGTGACAGTGTGCAGGGAAGCCTGGGAAGACCTGGCCAAAGCCTGCCTGAATAAGAAGGCTGATGAGACAGGAGAGGGAGCCCTGGTTTGCTGCCAGACAGCACTGGTCTTCCCCAAGATTCCCAAACTCTAGCAAAAGGTGCTGCAGGATGCGGGATTTCCTAACCCAATTTGCATCATCAGTGTTCCCAGGCTGTCACAAGATACAGAGCTCAGCTTTGCTCAAATTCAATACCCTTGCTGTGTGGAGGTGAAGATGTGAGCAGCCTAGAGCCACCCACAGTGCTCAAGGCAAGGTGTCCAGTGAAAAGAGGGTGCTTTCTGGGCTGTGAGAGGATGCTAGGCTCCAGGCCTGTTGACAGAAGCAGGAAGGAGACAGGAAAATCACAAGCAGCACTTAGCACACGGTAAGTCTGATAGTCACGCATGGTATTTCCAGCCCTGTGCAATGCCTTTAACCAAGGACCTAGCTTCAGCCCTAAAGCGAATTCAATGTTCTGCCCCTAGGGGAAAGATTTACACCTGTAAAAGAAGCTGCCTGGTAAATAAAGGAGATGGAATATACTATAATTTTTCCCCATCGCTTTAGTTACTCTGGTCTGAGGAGATTAAAAAAATTGAAACTTGGAGCCAGGGAACATGGGTGAGATTTTTTTAAGGGAGTTAAAATGAGTGAAGCAGAGACAGCCAGAGTTTTAGTAGCAAAGACACTGTAAAAGAGAACTTTTTTCTTATGTATTTTGATAGTACATGTTTGCAACCCATGATGATTACTTTCACCGTGGGGAGTCTGTACCCGTGCCTGACACATTTACTTCCTCCTGCGCCCTTCCCGTCCATGTTCTCCCTCCCCACATCCCCTTCCATCTGAAAAAACTTTATTTCCATTTTTGTCTTCAATTGTCTTTTTTCTAACCCATTTCCCTTCTCTTCCTCCTCCATGTTTTGTTCCCTGCATAGCTGAAAACTAATCTCCCTCTTGTACCCTTTATTTTGTTCCTTGTTGTATTTTGGATTTCTCAAAGAAGAAAAGCCACGTGATAATTAAACTTGTGTCTGGTTTGCTTTGCTAAATATCTTATTTTCCTACTTATGTTTATTAGCACACAGGAATTTTACAAGGGATAGTGTTTCAATATGCAATTTTTATGTATGCCTGTAACATATCTTGATCGTATGCATCCCTTCCTTTACAAATTTCCCCTTCCTCCTTGCTTTCTCTCTTTTTTCTCCTTCCTTTCATGACACCAATGATTAAACGCAGGGTCTTTGCACTGAACTACATTCCCAGCCCTCTAGCGAAAAATTATTTTTCCATTTCGAGGTGAGATCTTGCTAAGTCTCTAAGTTGCCCAGGCTGGGCTCAAACTTGTGATCCCCCTGCCTCAGTGCCCCCCACACACACCCAGAGCACTGGGACTGTATCTTTTCCTCCTCCTAAACAGAAATACACTTGGGCATGAATATTATTACAGAACTATAGCTTGTATTTGGAAGATGAGCAGAATTTAAAATAAATCGGATTGGGCCAAGCATGAGTTTGAACAAAGCTTCAAATTATTCTTCTTTAGCTCCTAGGGAAGAATCAATCTGGATGGGTCGGCAAAAGAAAAAAAAAAAAGTGGCTTTGAAAATCTTGGAGGCTGAAATATTCACTGGTGTTATTTATGACTCTGGCCACGCTGCAACCATTGAAATTAAACAAATGGGTGTCAGCTGAACTTGTCTCCAAAACCCAAAAAAAGATTCTTCAGCTGTATTTTATCTTCTGTTCCTTATTCTAATTTTATAATTAATAAATACTTCTTTAATACTTTAAAAATTAATAGGAGATTGGAAACTAAGAGGAGTTCATAAGCAAAGGCTTGTTTTAGTGTGTGTTTGTTTCAAGAGACAAGATCTTCAGACACTGCCTTCGCTGGCCTCTAA